CCCACCCTGTGCACCCCCCGAAACATCAGTTAGTGTTCCATTCAATGCAAATAGAATCAACAAATAAGATAGAAAAAAAACAAGTACCGAACTCTTGAAGCCATAAATAAATTAAAAGAAAAAAATGCAAGAAATGAAATTGAAAATGAGAACAACAGTTAAAGATATAAAATCACACACCGACAAAAAAATGGGCAGGCAAAGTGCATCACTCGCAACAGAAAATGTAATGTACATGAAAAGTCGTGAACGATGCGAAGTACCTGACAGGCTGACACTAATATCACACATGCAAATGCAACATGATACAATGTATCCTACAGGCTACTGCTAATGCACTGGCACCACATGTCGAAAAAAATACAAGAAACAATAGTCTACAAGTCGTGTCGTAGCTGCCTAAATGATACAAGAAAAAAAAAAAAAAGTCCAGTCTGAACTGAGTAGTGTGCAACCGACGGCACTCTACGAACACCCTACTCAGCCTACTGGCACCAAAATCATACTGTACGAACACCCTACTGCTACCAAAATCATACACACCAACAAGTAAAGCACGCACACAACCACTGAGTGTCTGACAATACTGAGACAAGACGAGACGACTCAGACTACCAAAAAAACAACAACCGCACAACATGACGACGTACAGTGCGAGTAGAGGAGAAGCGGAGTGTTGGCCTCATCGGTCAACGACCCTTCTTCCCCTTCCCGCTGTGTCTCCTCGTACCCTCTCGAGTGCCGGATGTCGACCTCTTCCTCCCTCGTGAGGATGAAGAAGTCCGTGCAGCGGAGCGTCTAGATGCACTCGTCGGTGGGGGTCCTGGGGAAGGTGGGGGCTCATCGTAGTCGTAGTCGTCGTCACCATCGGAACCGCTCCTGCTATCCTCCTCTCCCTCCTCCTCGCCCTCGTAGTCCTTGTCCGCATCCCACACAGCCGCATCCGTATCAGGATCATCCTCCTCGATGGTGACTAGGCCTCCTCCCTTCCTCAACACAACAACCCTCCCACTAGCCTCTGCAATGGTCTGCTCACGGCGGGAACCACGAGGCATCCCCAACCCCTCCGCCCCCGAACTCTCTCCAAGTGTTGCGCATCCCTCTGCAGACACGGGGCGTGGACGAGGAGGTACTCCACGCTTGCGTGGAGTCTGCTCCTGCACGGCATGCGTCGCTGCTCTCAGAGCATACTCCAAGGTATCGGTCGACACTCCTCTGCCACGACCTCGCTGAGGCTCACAACCCGATGCCGGTACCTCCCTCGCTGTGGTCGTCCTAGCGCCTCCTCCTCCCAAGCCCGGCTGAAGGCGTGCAGTGTGCTCCGTGACACGGCGGGTGGAATCCAAATGTATATCTGTCCTCCTGAATATCGTCGTGTCACACACGTCCTGCTGAACTGTTGTCGTGTCACGAATCCTAGATCTCCCAGGCGTGTGTGGGGATCGAGAGCCTCTGCCTGTGGGTGACGATGATGGATCACCTGCAGTTGCTCTGGGAGGAGGGGGTGGCATGTCTCCTGTGCGTGGCGCTGTCTCCGTCACGCCACCCGAAACCCCTGGAACATGTCCCGCGGTATGTCCTCCAGTGGAGGTAGACCCAGACCACACGGGCACGCAGGACCCCATGGAACCGAAGAGATCGACTGCCACGGTGGGTGCTCGAGCTTCCGATCGAAGATCCGCCGGTCCAAGCGAGTAACATCGCGCACAGCCTCTCTCGCCAACTCCTCTCCATCCAAAGGACGATGGACCTCCTGCGGAGCAAAGTGGCTAGGAAGACGTGGGGGCACAACCACCGGCTCGGACCCCGAATCTGTGATAACGGGCGGTGGCACACCATGCACTGCCATCTGAACCGCCTGCGACTATCGGGCCTGAGCTAAGTGCAGGCCCGAGAACGGAACGACTGGACCCGTCGCTGTCTCCTGCCCCTCGCGTCGTGAGTCTATAGCCCCCTCGACTTGTCGCTGTCCTGCCTGCACTGCCTCATCGACCGCCTGAGTCCGTTCCTCCACAGCAACGTCCGCTGTCTCTGCTCCACCCGGCATAGCCTCGGGTACCGGCTCTGCTGCCACTCCCTCCGCAACGTCCTCCCCCGCCACCACCCCACCCTGCACACAATCCGCCCCTATCTCTAGACGCCTGGCGTCCTCTACGGCCCGTGCGAACGCCTGAGCACGAGGGTCAGTCAATGCCAAAAGTCTAGCCCTCTCTCGCTCCATGATGTCGTGTGCTGCATCTGGAGACTGAGTCGTCGTCCTCTCTCTGGCGGTCTGCGTCGAAGTCCTGCCTGGTGCCTCGTCCCTTGATGGAGCCCGATCCGTCGATGTTGCCCTGCCGCAACTGGGTGGAAGGCCCACCGACAAATCCAAGTCTAAGTGGGTCCCCATCTCCGAATCTGAAATCCCAAACCCCCTCTCCACACCTGGGGTCATACCCGCTATGGCCGGACCGAGCTCCTCCATGAGGAACTGCTGCATGAGGCGCTCGTCATCGCCCCCACGCTGCACCTCGGCCTGTGCGGCTATCTCCTCCTCCATTGCAGCTGTCGACGGTGCGTCCTCCTCCTCCAGTGCTGCTGCCACCTCAACCTCCACTGCTACTGCTCCTCCACCTGCTCCTCCTGCTGCTGCCACCTGCCCGTCCACTGCTGCACCTCCTCCTGCCGCTGGTGGATCCTCCGCCAGCACTGATGCTGCCATCTCCTCTAGCACTGATGTTGCTGCTGCTGCTGCTATCTCCTCCACCGCGGCCGCGATCGTCGCGTCCGACACAGCCGCTGGTGCCATCGAACTCTCCACTGCTGTTGCCGAAGGTCCCCCCTCCTCCTGCCCTATCCCCGGGGAAGGTGATCGTAACCTAAGCTGGCGGACTGCCCCGCCTCTGTGGAGAAGGCCTCGCTGAGGCAAAGAGGACCCCAACTCCTCCCTGTCCGGCTGAAATGGCGAGACGGGCGATCGTGGTGCAGGACTTGGAGCAGGAGGTGGCGGCATGGACGAATCCCGCCTCGTCAGAGTGGGGGTCGTCGCCTGCGCCTCTGGGCCGCCCGTGGAAGCGACCTCACCGAATGGGCCCCAAAAGTCCTCTTCTCCCCCCAGCATCTCGCTCTCTGCCCGGTCCGCCGCCCGTCGTGCAGTCTGTGTCCTCGTGTCCTCGGAGCCGGGATCCTCGTGCATCTCGTTGATCTCGCGAGGAATGCGGAGCGCAGGGTCATCTGCCGCCTCGGGTATCGGCTTCTCGTCTGAGTCGTCGTCCCTAGGGTAGGGACGAAAAATGCAAGCATGTCTATCGAAAACGGCATCAGCCGAGGGTGGTGCGGACGCCCCGATGGGATCTCGAGTAATAAGTGCAACCTGACGGGCAATCTCCTCGTCCGTCATCCCCCTGCGAGTTCCCGTGCGCACAGGCTCCAACTCGAGTCCTGCCTGGCAATCCAACATGCCCTCGTCCCGCTGCCATGGCAGCACATAACTGCATCCAGCCTGCCGATACTCAGTCAACCGCACAGAGTTGCACGACCTTCTCGAAGGCCAACTGGTTGCGCTTCTTCGTGTGAATGCCCTCGTGGACTGCCCAATTCCTCTCCGCTGGAGAGGCGCAAGACCACATGTGCATCAACCGAAGAGCGCAACGCTGCAACTGTGGCGCGCCCGACCCGAACTGAGACCACCAAGATGCGCACTTAATCGTCTCGCTGTCGCCGCTGCACGAGCGCCCACGAGCACGCCCCTCCGGACCGCCCCAATCCCTGAACCTGCCCTACTGAATGTGGAAGTCCTCAAACTGCCGCACCCTCCAGCTCGAATCCCGTATGAGTCAAAATGTACCTCTTGGCTTGCCCCACAAGCCAAGCATCGTACCTCTCCACCTGCCCCGAAAAGTAGCGAACGTGTCGCCTGCGGGGGTTCAGTAAGAACCCTGCACAGTGAGCTGGCTCAAGCATGTGCTGTATGCGAGCCTGCACACGCCTGATGATCCCGTCGGCGAACGACGTCCCCAAAGGGGCGCATGCAACTGTGACACGGCGAACAAGATCCTGCGTGCACTCGATCATGAGGGGCATGTACTGTCCTCCACGATCCATCCTCCTGAGCAACTCCATGACGGGCTGCATGATATGGACGATGGTGGCCACCCTCTGCCACCATGGATCCCATCTGATCTGTCGACGCACCCACCGCGCCATGACGCACACATCGGCGGACCACGGGATGGAAGCAAAAGCCCGCGCGTCGTCCCCTCTCATCATGTCCTGCAAAGTGTCCTGCAGGGCCAACAGCCTCTCCAGCATGGAGTAAACAGACGCGAACCGCGTCTCGCAAAAAAGAATAAGCCCCTTCTCGGGGCTGCGCAACCTAAAAAAATGAAGGGCGGCCTGGTGGGTTTTGAAAAACACCACCAGCACACGAGCGCGTGTGATCGCGTCCACAAACGCGTCGCAACTCGTCCCCATGTCTGACAACGATTTGTTGTAGACATGGACGGAGCACGGGAGCCAAGTGATCCTCCTCAGTGCAGGAGGCATGGACGGCGAGGTCAATGCCCTTGCAGCCCCCACATAGGCAGAAGCGGAGTCAGTGCATATCGCATTGATTCGCTGCGGCCCGCCAAAGCTGAACTCGTGGAAGATGGTAACCCATCTATGAAGGACGTGCACTGCATCGTCCGGCTCGCCCTCTGGATTGATCGTCATGTACACGACGACCCCTCGAGAGCCAGCATCAAGGAAATTCACGATCGGTCTCCCGTCTCGTGATTTCCTCCCATCGGAGAGGAGGGTGGCACCAGTCACCCAGAATGGCTGCCTCACCTCCTCCAACTCCTCCGCCAACTTTGCACGGTGGGTCTCCACCGCCCGCATACTCGCAATCTCGCAGTGGTTGAGGAGCACTGCGCGCGGGGAACCGCCAGGCTGCTCAAGAAGCACCTGCTGATATGCCTTCCACGCCTGGTTGCGGAAGGCATTGAAGGAGACCCCGCTGGAATACAACCAGCGAAGGAATGCCTTCTTGTGGCGGGCAACCCACTCGCCACCGTAGACATCAGTCACCTTCTGCTGCCGAAGCCTCTTCCCTGCTGGGGTGGCAGCCGGATCACTCCCTCCTTCCTTCCTCTTGGAAGACCCCTCCGTTGCAGCTCCCTTGCCTGCTCGCCTCCGCCAGTCCTCCAACCTCTCCCCAGTGCCTGGATAAACCTCAGGCACGTCCTCCCGTTCCGGGACTCCCTCGTCACCCGGGCCACGCGCCTCGCGATCCATGTGGATCACGCCCTCCTCTGTCTCACCGCCTCCACCACCCAAAGTGGGGTCTGCCGCACCATGCCCACCATCTCCCCCGACCCCTCCCTCCGCCGGACGTCGCCCCACCTCTCCTCCCCTTGCAACACCCGTGCCGGGCACATCCAGTTCGCGCTCCGCTGCATACCTCGACACCCTCTCCATCTGATCGGCCTCAAACTTCTGCTGAGTCCGTCGAGCAATCTCGTACAACGCCTCGTCGCTGACGTCCTTGCAGTAGTTTGTCTGCGAGAAGTGCCTCGTGGCCTGAAACTGGGTCCCTTGGAAAACTTTGTTGCAAAACGTGCAACGGAGCATCATGACCCCCTTGTTGTCGACCTTCTGGCTGACAACCAGGTACCGATAGACAGGGGAGCGGGCCCTGAATGTGTCCTGCACATGATCCGCGGCAGCCTCATGCTGACGGCGCTGTGACCTTCCCATGTCGATCACCCTGGCGAGACAACCCTCGCTGACTCCCCCCGACCGCACCGCTGCAACCCAACACCCGTTAACCGCTACCTGCCGCAGGGTCCCCCTTCCCCC